ACGAAAGCGACAGGCATCGGGGAGGGGCGTGTGTCCGTGTAAGTGCAGGATGGCCGGTCATTGGAGAAAAAGTTGGATAGCGCTGGTGACCATGTCGTAATGGAGCGTTCGGACAGAACCAGTAACTGCCAAAGCAAGGGCGAAACGGTAGGACGCCAGTCAAGAAACCGGTGACTACGGAGTACGGAGGCTGGGAGGTTAGGAACGAGAGGGCTTTAAAAAATAGTGTAACTTTCGCCACGAGAGGAAGGGGCGAGTGGCCGATCGGGCGGGTGACCGAGTAGAAACCATCACTTGTCCGGCGCCTTCCTCGTGGTCTGGTGCGCTTTGCACCTTCCTACACCCAACGTGCCCTTTGTTCACACATCTTGCGGAGACCTGGGGAGAAGGAACGACCGGCGGTAACACTGGGTCCTTTGGTGCTGTCATAGTGCCACTTGCCATTTTTTTTCGATATGTTCTCTTCTTGTTGTATCGGAATGGTCCTTCTGGAAGGTACGGAGTGACGCGTTACCTGCTACTCCAGTCGCTCTTTCCCTTATCTTCACTGCCTTTTCTCCCTCCCTTTCGTTCGCCTCTCCTTCTATTTTCTCCTCCTTTCTTCTTTCCCTCTCTCTTATTTTTGTTCTTTCTTGTTATCTTGTTCTCTTGTTTGTATTATTTAGATACCCAAAAGCCAATAGACTTCCATTACCTCTCCTGTGCTTGTGATCATCTCTCTTGAACCAGTTTATCATCTTCCATCACCAACGTCATCGAGGATCAAGCTTATCCATTTTACCAGGCTGCCACTCTTTTAACCAGCTCCCACTCCCATTCAAACACGCTCAAACCCACACACCCACAGACAGCCCGTCAATATGCGTCTCATCATCCGCGACGACGAGGACCAGGCCAGCGGCTTCGTGGCCAACTACATCGTCGACCGCATCCGCACATTTGCCCCCACGGCCGAGCACCCCTTTGTCCTCGGTCTGCCCACTGGCAGCAGCCCTCTCAATGTCTATGCCCGTCTTGTTGAGGCGTACAAGCAGCACCGCGTCTCGTTTGCCCATGTCATCACCTTTAACATGGACGAGTACGTCGGTCTCTCCCGTGACCACCCCGAGAGCTACCACACCTTCATGTGGACCAACTTCTTCAGCCACGTCGACATCCGCCCGGAAAACGTGCACCTGCTGAACGGCAATGCACCGGACCTCGAGGCCGAGTGCGCCAGGTACGAACAGACCATCCGCGACTGCGGCGGCATCGACCTGTTCTTGGCCGGCATTGGCGAGGATGGCCACATTGCCTTCAACGAGCCCGGCTCCAGCCTGGTCAGCCGCACACGCGTCAAGACGCTGGCCTACGACACCATCCGGGTCAACAGCCGCTTCTTCGGCGGTGACGTCGATGCCGTGCCGCGGTGTGCGCTGACCGTCGGTGTGCAGACGGTGCTGGACGCCCGTGAGGTGGTGGCGATTGTGCTGGGCCCCCGCAAGGCGCTGGCGCTGCAAAAGTGCATCGAGGAGGGCATCAACCATATGTGGACGCTCTCGAGCCTGCAGCTGCACCCGCACCCCATGGTGGTCTGCGACGAGGACGCCACGCTTGAGCTGCGCGTCAAGACGGTCAAATATTTCAAGTCGATTGAGCAGGTGGCGCGGACGCAGGGCTTTGAGCAAGCTCTGCCGACGCGCCTGCGGGTGCGGCCCGATGCTCGGTCGGACGCCAACGGCAACATGAAAATCAACACGTCCGTGCCCAGCGTGGCGACCGCCTCGGGCACCACCACCCCGGGCACCACCACCCCGCTTGTTATCCCCTCGCCTATCAAGCCGACGCCGAGCTTTATCCTGGTGCATGGCGCACCCGACACGCCGGATGCCTCGCCCACGATGTCCTCTAAGATTGGCCTGAACGCGGCGGCGGCAGCCGCCAACGCTACGCCCGGCGGTGGCGACGTTGATTCGGACTTGGACCTGGTGCCCGACCGGATGGGCGACCGCATCCCGGTGCCTAAGGGTGCAACCGCTGCTGGCAGCGGCAGCCTGGGCGTGGTCCCCGTTTACCGCCGCCGCCTGACCCCGACGCCGGAGCAGCAGCAGCAAAAGAGCTTTGGCCGTGTCAGCGCATAAGCGGCTGCCGCGTATAGATTGTCTCGCTTGATCTTTTGCTTAAAGTATTCTTTTTTTCGGTGGTTTTCTGGAGTTTTGCACTTTCGTCGCCTTCTTCATTATCATCGGCACACTACCGCCGCTTACCATTGACTGCTGTTTCTGGTTTTTAAAACGCGTTACTTTACTCTCCCCATGCGTCTTGCTTGCATGAGTTTTCTATTCATTTTTGTTCTTTTTATTTCTACTCTGCTAAGATTGCATACATTGCCTTGCCTTTTCTGTGTTGACGATTAGCCAAAATTTAAAAATAAAACAAAACTACAAGGAACAAAGCCAAAACGAAGACGTTTTAGAACAATCTCTGTCGCCCAGACATATGTATTGATACCACTGAACACCCGATAAATACTAAAAATTCAAATGAACATACGTCCTTCGGTTCGTGTCAACAAATATCCCTTTCTCTTTTTCAGTGTAGCTAGGATACTAATGAGTCCTCGGCGGAGAGAGTGCTGATATATGCCCTGCGCTGAAAGGACCGTTAATACTTGAGGGTAATCGCCACGCAAATGCGGTTTGCCTTGCCCTGACAAAACACGGACCGGTCTTTTCATCGACCACCACCACGAAGAGATCAAATATGGGCCTCTTAGACCTGGATAGTCTTTTCATCGACCACCACCACGAAGAGATCAAATATGGGCCTCTTAGACCTGGATAGAGCCGGTTGTGGTCACGGTGGTAGTTCTAGTCCATCTGTGTACCCTTTGGCTGATCCGAATCTCCGTCTATAGCTTCCACAAAGTGATGCCCATTTGGACATGTACCGGCCTCGTTAGAGAGAATAACAAATGTCAAAGCCCGGGAGGCGACATGTAGACAGAAATAGACTACTCACTCAATATTAAGAAGATATTCAACTTGCCGTGCGACGGTGCCAGTAGTCTCAAAGGAATATCCTAAAGAGGATCTCCGCGATAGATCCCGATGACAAAGAAATAGATAAAGAGAGAGAAGAGAGAGAGCAGATATAAATCACTCATCGTGAGATTCGTCTCAGGCGTAACAGACGGGCGATTGTTAGATTTACTCGACACGAGAAAGTACACAAGGTGAGGGAACACCAAATATCCCCTTTATAGTCATATTGCAATTGTAAGCTCCTCTGCCCGTTCTCGTGTAGCACATCATTTCTTCGTCAGATGTGGATTATCGCCATCTAGCATGTTCATAAATTCAGCCAGTCTTCACTGGATGTTGATGTTCAGCCCAGAAGTTAGTCCTGGAGATAAAGACATGTCGACGATGCCAGGCCCGTCTTCACATACCTCGAGCCAGCTCACCGGTACAACTCGGCGCCGCTGATACCATGCCCGACAGTTATGCATGACCACGAATCACGAACTTTTGTTGACCGAGACAATCCCTTTCCAAGACAACATACGGCTGCATCTGCTGTCCAATCAGTGGCGAGGCCGCGTGGGACGGGGGTATGGATGCCCTTTAGCGCCAAAAAAGTCCAAGCTTGGCTGCCGCCCTGCTGAAAATACGGGACACTGCAGCATGCGATTGGGCACCGACCGCCCTTCTCACCACCTATGGCCGCCGAGAAACCACCCGTCGCCACCTGTTTTCTGATGTAATACAGGCAAGCGACTCCCCCATAAACTTTTGCCGCCGCTTCCTCTCGAGCTCTTTTCCTTGTCAGGCAGATCGTGCGCTATTCTGTCGCTCTCCCGCTGTCCGCCCAGCTGGTCTACGCGCTGGTTCAGCCACTGATTTACAGCGATGCTGCCGTAGCAGCTTGTTGCGCCAGTCCCTTACCTTAAACGGGTCCTTCCTTACCATCTGGAAGTATCACGTCCAAGGTGCCGCAGTTTCCTTCTGAACGTCGTACGCTCCTGCCTCACATTCTGTCATTATCTTTGTTGTCCTCCTTCTCCTTCCAATCTGTCGCCATCGCCACATTCTGGTGGCATCTTCCCTTTTCCTGGACTCGTTTTCCCTCGTCACGTCTCGGCTTTCCGTCTTCCCGACGAGCCCCAGTTCGCCTATATCGCCCGCGATCCTCGTGCTTCACGTTCAGCCACACTTTCTCGCGAACCCCTGCCGGCTATCTGCTCCTTTTTTCCTTTTGTTCCATATCCAGCCACCCAAAACCCTCGCATCGCGACTTTGTCATCTCGCCATCTTTCTCGCTTTCTGTATGTTTTGGCTTCACTGTAAGCCTACTGCCCCCTTACTCGTGCTTCCCGTTCATCTCCTCCCTCCCCACCATCCAGACCTCTGTTTCTCCACTTTTATCTGCTACCATCTTAACGCCTTCTCACATCCGTCGCTAGCTCCAGCCTTCTCCCACTCTCTCACATCCCCATCTCCTCATTTCAGCTGTTTTCTCAGACTTTCGTTCCCCTTCTCGCTTCCCCCTTTTCCTCCTCTCCCTCCAAACTCTGCTTCTCCTTGTCCAATATGCAACGAGCCAACAACGCCGAAGCTGCCGTCCATTTCGCTCTTTCGATGACTTTGTCACCTTGTCCTATTCGTCATTGACTGCCGGTAAAATCTGAGCGTCCAAGCTGCCGGAGACCACTTCGACCTCGACTCATACCTCTGGCTCCGCCTCCGTCCTTCTTGTCTTTACTTGTGCGATTTCCTGTACTGTACATACTAGCGAAGCGATAAAAAAGAAAAAGAAACGCGTCAAAGTTCGGAAAACGCCTCTAGGCGAACCTCCAGCGTGCGCATCGCTGCGACTTATTTCCTCCGTACGAACACCGTGGCCATCACACGACGCGACTCCCAACGATACCCAACACGAGACAACGATCAATCAAGATACCCTGAATTTCAAGCCACGCATCTCCGATAATACACACTCACGACACTCACCCTTCCATCATGGTGTCCGACGAGACCTACGACATCTGCCTCCCCATCCTCCAGGACGCCTCTCTCGAGGAAGAGGACAAGATCGACCGCCTCGAGTCCCTTTTGAAGAAGGCCACGACTCTCCAGGGCCAATCCCTCGAAAACGCAGTATTAGATGCTGTCTGGCGATATCGCGAGGGCGGCGGGACTGCCACATCGCCGCCGCCCATCCGCCAGACCATTCTGCGCCGGCCCTCGCCCGCCTCTTGGCGCGGCTCCAACACCCCACTTTCCGGCTCGCCGCGTCTCGGGGTGAGCCCCCTCGTGCCCCCAGGCTTCGTCCCGGCATCCATCCAAGGCGCTTCCTTCCCGCCGTCGTTTACTCGCAACAACAAATCCACCGCCGCCTCACCCTTCGGCTCTCCCCGACCCTCGCCCCGTCTCGGTTTTGCGACCCCTGTCATCCCCCACAGCCCCAGCCTCAACGCCTACGAGTTTGCCAGCGATCACACACCTGCCGCTGAAATCTTTGGCGACGCTCAGCAGACAGACAATGTCGACTGGCTGGTCAGCGATGATGCCGTCAGTGTTACCTCGTCACTGGGAGGTGGCAGTGGTACCGGTTTTGGCGGCGGTCCTGGAAGCTATACGGGCAGCGGCTTTGCCTCCGGAACGGCAACGCCTTCTTCCTCGAGTGGTCTCAACGCGGCCGCGCCCGAGTTCTCCTTGTCATCCCTGTCCTCGCAGCAGGTGGACATGACGCCCTACGACATGCTTCGCTCCATCTTGGGTCCGTCGCGCACCGACGACGAGATCGACGCCGCCCTGGCCATGCACGGCTACGATCTTGGCGCGACCATTACGGCGATTATGGAGCAGCAGCAGCAGCAGCGACAGCAGCAGCAAAATCCGCAAGAGCCGCAAGAACCACAACAGCCGCAAGATGCCGCCTCATTTTCTCTGTCGGCCCTAGGATCGGGCGGCGCGCCAGTCCCGCCCGCGCCGACCTCCATTGCATCGTCCATGGACGACTCTTCGGGCGGCGTGCTCATTGGCAAGTCCATGACCCCTGACGCGCGCCCAAGCACACCCGCCGACCAGAAGTCTGGCATCTTATGCAAGTTCTTCTTGTCGACGGGCCAGTGCCTTCGCGCCGACTGCCGTTTCAGCCATGATCTGAGCAACCACATCTGCAAATACTGGGTTGCTGGGAACTGCCTCGCTGGTAACACCTGCGTCTTCTCACATGACCCGGCACATCTCATTACCCGCCTGAACGTGGACGGCACGAGCACGCCGCCATCGCAGCCCAGCGTCCACGACTATAGCGCGTTCCCCGTCCTCCAGCCGCAGCCTTCCACGCCCGAGCATCTGTCCCTCTTCGCGGCGTCGGGATCGTATCCTGCTGTCGGCCTCACGCCGCCCCCAGGTTTCAAGCTACCCGGCTTTAGCGGTGCAGGTGGCCTAGGCGACGGAATCTCGCGACCCCGGTCGCGCCCCAGCAGCCGACACCAGATGCATCGCCAACATGAAGGCGGACACCACGGTCACAACAATAACAATAGCAACAATAACAGCAGCAGCAACCAAGCGGCGCCTTCCATCGACGACACCGAAGCGTTCCCGACGCTTGGGTCGGCCGCATCCTCTGCCCGAGCCGTGAGCGGCAAGAAACACCACGGCAAACGTGGCGGCCAAGGCCACAAAGACGGCACCGCCATTGGCTCGGGTGCAAGCGCACCATTTACACCGAGCTCGCTCGCGGACATTGTTAAGATGTCACCCTCGCCGACGCCCGAAGCCTCGTTGCCACGACCCGCGACCATTCGCAAGCTGGGCCGCAACGGCAGCATGGCCAATATGCGCAACGGCGAGACCAGTGCGGCCGCTCAGGCGATCCCGACGCCCAAGCACATTCCCTGGCTCGAGACGGGCGACAGGGCCAACAAAGCCTATCTCAAAGCACGCCAGGAAGCCATTAAGCACGGTGGATTGCGCAACAAGTTTTTGCAGAGGTGGGTTTCCCCTTCCCCTTCCCCCCCCTCACTACCCGTCGGACCCTTACTGACATACTGTAGCGCCGCACAAGCATGGAACCGCAACGACGCGCGCGCCGCCAAAGCACTGAGCCTGCGCGGCCAGAGCGAAAACGACTTGATGCGCAAAGCACACCGCGAGGCCGCTCGCGAGCTCTACGAGGAGCGCAACCGGTTCAACACGCCGTCGTCGGAAATCTACGTGGATCTGCACGGCCTGCACCCCGAAGAAGCCGTCGAGTACCTGGAGCGCGTGCTGCTCGACAATGGCAGCGAGACCAAGCCCGTCTATGCCATTACGGGCACGGGCCACCACAGCAAGAACGGCAAAGACAAGGTCGGCAAGGCCGTGCGCAACTTTCTCAACGAGTGGCGTTACGCTTATCGCGAGTTCTCTGTGCCGAGCGACCGCAACAACATGGGCGGCATCCTGGGCATTGATGCGCGCAGCTGGGACAAGTCGCTGGGGTCCCGGCCGACGGCGCCGCCGTCCAAGGTGTCGACGAGCACGACCGTCGTAGGAAATGTCGACATCTTGTCTCAAGGCGTCGAGATTGGCGACGGCAAAGTGAAGCTGCTGGTGCGGGACTCGTCGGTCGCAGCTAAGGAGGTACCGAAAGGCGGCAAAGCTGTGCGGTAGGCGAAGGGCGTAGTAGGCTAGACGTGGCGCAGGATATGAGAGCGTATGTGATAAACTGGGATATCTTGATATCTTGATATTGGTGGCCGTCTTGTTACGATTCTAGATAGGATTTTGAAGAGGCCCCTGGGGACAGAAGCTGACGCCATAATGAATACGAAAAATTTACATTAAACATATGGAAGCCCTGTGTCTGCAAAGCCCAAGTCGATTTTTACTAATCCTTTATTTATTTATTTTAAAAAAAGACTAGTGCATCATCCCGTAATCACTCCCAGTTTGCTACTGTCCACGGGCTCATCATTGTCATCGCCGCGCCGCCGAGCAAGTGTCTTACCGTCCTTTTCAAAAGCACCATCGCCGCAGCCACTGTCACTACCACCGCCGCCACCTTACCGTGTATTCTACAACGCGCAGTACAGTAGCTACCTTTTCGGCACGAGATACCCTAGTCTTCAATGCGACAAGTTAGTCGTGAAAAGTGCAGGATGGTGGCGTGCAAGCATATAAGTCTCAGACTCGAGTGCAAGGCACGCTCGTACTTAATTAATTTTTGGAGCCAATTCTTTCAACGACAAATAACCGGTCAAGAACCGGGCAATTGGCTTAGGTGGTATAGCGCCCGCTTAGCATGAGCAACATCGCTATGTCAACCTGCGGGAGGTCCAGGGTTCGAGTCCCTGATTGTCCAAATTTTTTTGTCTTTCTTTTTTAGACACTTAAAAACCCTGCAGGTCCATATATGCTTCATTTTGCGTCTACAACTCTAGTTTAAAACATTCGACTTAAAACTCTGGCGTGTTTTCGAGCCGTCTCTTGCGGAGGGGGCAACAAAAACTGCAATCGCGACCTATCCAGAGGGAACGTACGAGACGAATGACAGGAAGAGGACGTACTGAGGCAGGAATACGCTATACTTGCGAGCTCTGAAAATACTAGATCTCTTGGTTTTTTGTATACCTCTAGTTGTGGAAACCGGGCAGCCGATGGGAGCACCATTTGTCACGATGTTTACTACGTTATACTGCGTATTTGGTTTGCTATTAAAATTAGCCTTCGGAAGGATCAAGTTCTTTGATGCCAAAGTCCGTAAGGTTTCGTTTCACCTTTGAATTATCTCCTGGAAGGTATTTCTGCATCGACGAGGAACTCTTTTGCCGATAGATTGTGACGTGCGTTATCCGTTTTGTCTTGCTACTGATATATAAGTCTAACAATACACCAGGATCGCGTCGGTGTGCAATGCTGCTTCCTGTTTCCTAAGTCCATAACAAAAAACAAAGCAACAATGAACCTATAATCTCTTCTAGTTGTAGCATTGTACGATCATTAGGCTTCTTTATTTTTATTTTTTTATTTATTTCCCCCCCAAAACAACGTAAAATGGAAATAATAAGATATTTTAGGAAAAAAAAGAAAAGAAAAGAAGAGAAAATGCAAAGAAAATGCAAAGAAAAGGAAGAGGAAATGGAAAATAAACCGATTTGACAACCCAGCAGAAATATAGATAAAATAAAAATGTAAATAAATCTAGTTAGCTGACAACTAGCCAGCAAGTGGCCGAGAAAGGCGAATAATAATAAAAATAATATTGAACTGACAATGGTCTCGCAACAACTCTCTTGATTAAACCATGCCTAATATCGTTGGACGTCTACACACACTTTAGCCATCGAGGGATATTGCCAGGCCGGCCGCCGCACCCAAACGGCACTGGAAATTGAGACACATTGATAGTGGTACGTCGGGAGGCTTGCTTTATCGCGCAATGGCGAGAGGAGCATGGCACACTGTCGTGTTGCCCTTATGGACACCAAGACATTGTCCGATTGTCAAAATGGCAAAGGCAGCCAATCTGGTCTGGGTACTCGCTTTGCTGCTCCTCGCAGTGGCAGCAGCATCGCCACGCCTCAACCCCAAAGACATTGTCGTCGACGCCGACCTCGACTATGGCAGCTTTCGCGGCGCCTACTCGGACGAGTACAACATCACCCACTGGACGACGGTGCCCTTTGCGGCACCGCCTGTGGGCCGGAACCGCTTTCGGGCGCCGCAGCCGTTGCCACCGCTCCGTCCGTCGGCCTCTCCTGCGCTGCACAATGCCAGCCGGCCGTTTCCCATGTGCCCGCAGCGCGAGGCCAGCGGCGACGAGGACTGCCTGTATCTGGGCGTGTACGGCCGGCCTTGGACGACGGCCGAGCGGCGTGCCAACCGGCTGCGGCCGGTGGTCGTTGTTTTTTTCGGCGGCGGGTTCATTCGAGGGTCGGCCGCGCTGGGATTGCCGCCGGCGGCGTATCCCGTGCTCAACGTCTCGGAGGCAAACAATGTGCTGTTTGTGTACCCCAACTACCGGACCAATGCGTTTGGCTTTCTGGCCGGCCGCGACGTCGGCGCCGACGCGGGCTCCGACACCAATGCGGGCTTGCTCGACCAGCAGGCGGCGCTGCGCTGGGTGCAGCGGTACATCCATGCGTTTGGCGGCGATGCGGGCAGCGTGAGCATCTGGGGCCAGAGCGCCGGTGGCGGCGGCGTCCTGGCGCAGGTGGTGGCCTCATCACGACGCTCGTCGTCCGCCGCCAGCGGCAACGAGACGGCGCCGCCGCTGTTCCACCGCGCCATGGCCAGCAGCCCCTACTGGCCCAAGACATACCGGTACGACGCGCCAGAGCCGCAGGCGCTCTACGACGACCTCGTGCGGCGCGTGGGGTGCGAGGATGACAAGAATGACACGAGTGCGCGGGCTGGCAGCGACACACTTGCCTGCCTCAAAGCCGTGGATGTCCAGGCTCTCCGCACGGCCAGCCTTGCCATCACGGCCGACCGCGACGCCACGGCGACGTCATCGTATGCGTGGGCGCCGGTCCTGGACGATACATTTTTGCGGCAGCCCTTGTCGTCGCTGACGAGGACGCAACAGCAGGGCGGGCGTGGCGCCAGCGCCGGCGCCGGCACCCTGCGCGCTGGCTTTGCCACATACAACACGCACGAAGGCGAGAATTTCGTGCCGACCTGGCTGTTCCCGAAACGCGCCGCAAATGCGACGGCGGACGACGACGGGCGCCAGTTCCACACGTGGCTGCTGCGATACCTGCCGACCCTGAACGCAGACGACGTGGCCCAGGTCGGCCGACTCTATCCGTTGACGGGCGATGTCGAGGACGGCGGCGGAGCGGATCGGGCCTACTCGGATGGCAACCCCTTTGGCCGCGCCGGCCTCGTATATCGTGACGTCACTCTGGCGTGTCCGGCGTACTGGATGACGACGTTGGCCGCAACAAGCTGGCTCGCCGAGTACTCCATATCTCCGGCCAAACACGCCAGCGACACGTACTGGTGGAACACGGTCGACAAGGCCCAGAAGACAGACCCATTGCACTACAACAGTTACGCCGGCGCTCTGGCCTCGTTCTTTGCGACAGGCGACCCGAACGCAAACAAGTTGACGGCCTCGTCTGTTCCTGGACTGCACGATACAACAGCAGGCGAGGAATGGGCCATCACAGCCGACGGCTTTGCTACGTGGAGCCTTGCGCAACTGCAGACGCGATGCGACTTTTGGCTAAGCATCGCGCCGCGGGTATCTATCTGAAGGGATCTCGCATGCCAGGCAACAACAATGTCGTATTCATATTAGATATTTTCATCAACATAGACAACAATGTCCGCAAAGATCCAATGCCCGCAAACGCGACAAACATCTATATCAAAAGAAAATAAATCTTCGCTTCGCAACATGGTCACCGTCTAACTGGACAGCAAAACCAAAGACAGCCAAAGCAGCCCAAGCTCACCAGGACAGCTCTAGCAGCACCCTCTAGTCCATCGTGTCGTCCCGCAGACGAAACAGCTGCGTCAGGACCTCGTCCGTCCGCGCCCGGATCGCGTTGTGGTACAGCCCGTTCGTCTCGTACACCTTGATGTTGCGAATCTTGCCGGCCGTCTCCTTGGCTATACCGTAGTCCACATACAGGTCGTCGATAAAGGTGGCCGCGTACACGGGCACCCGGTTCATCTTCAGCTGGTCCTCGTCGTACAGCTCCTCCCAGTCGTCGTACGCCGCCACCAGCTCCGCCGCCTCCTTCATCTCCATGAGCTCGGGGTACGTGTCGAACATGAACGGGTAGATCATCTCGCTGCTTAGCAGGATCGAGTTGCCAATCTGCTGCCTCTCCGGCGCCACCACGTCATCCGCGAGCCAGCTGAACTGCGGGAACTCGTGCTTCGTCTCCTCGTCGCCCTGGGACACGAGATCTGTTCCGGCGCCCACGCCCACCCGCTGCGCCGCCCACCGCGACGACACGCCCTTCTTGAAACAGTAGATGGGCTCGTGCAGGATCGCATAGAGCGGCATCACGTCCAGTGGGAAGAACTGCTCCACCTGCACCAGGGTCGGGCGCGTCAGGACGCCCACGCGCTCAATGTCGTGCCGCATCCGCAGCAGCAGCGTGTGCGTCGCGTCCACGCCGCCGTGGAACCCAAACATGTACCCAAACGTCAGCACCCGCTTGAACGTCAGGAAGCCGCCGCTCGGCAGCGGCAGACGGTGGTCGGGCTGGCTGTACAGGTGTTGCGAGATGCGCTGCAGTGCGTCCGCGTCCTCGGGGAACTTGCCAAAGTACGCCCGGTTGCGTTCCACCGCCTTGCGGTATGTCGCCCGGTACACGTCGTCGGCCGTTTTGCCCAGCGGCGCCATGCCGCCCGTCAGAAAGACCTCGCGCAGCCCGTCGCTGTAGAACGACAGGTACGTCAGGCTCACAAACCCGCCAAATGACTGGCCCAGAAGCGACCACCGCTTTTTCGACGCCGGCTGGTCCTCCGTCAGGCACTTGCGCACCGCCTCCAGGTCCCGCACAATGCTGTCTGCCCGGAACTTGCGCAGGTACGCCGCCTGCGCGTCCGGGCCGCCTCGCCGCTTCAGCGTTTCGGCACAGATGGCCGAGCTCATGCCCGTGCCGCGGTAGTCGAGGAACAGCAGCTGGTACCCGCGCGAGAGCATCGTCCGCGTGAACGCATAGTCCTGCGGCTCCCGGTTGCCCGAGCCGGGCCCACCCTCGAGGTACACCAGCCATGGTTTGGTAAACAAGTCCCGGAGCTCCTGCAGGCTGTCCTTGTACACCTTGGGCGTGTTGTTGCTGATCGCCGTGCCCACCCCGCCGTTGCTCGTGCTGCCGCCTTCGCTGAACGGAAATGTCGGCACTATCGGCTTCTCGTAGCGAAACGCGGCCCGCGCAAACAGCCGGAGCTTCTCGCCGTGGGGGTCGCTGTAGTCGAGCGGTACGTCAAAGTAGAGCTCCGCCACCAAGAGCTGGGCTGCAAAACCGTGCGTTAGTTATGTATGGCATTGACTTCAGTTGAGACTGAGAGACAGAGCGACAAACGCACAAGGTAGACGGTGGAGAAGGCCGCTGACGAGCGCTGCTGGGCCGGGCTGGATTGCCTGCCGCAGCAGCCGAGACGTCCCCACCATTGACATCGCGGCGTCCGCTTCGGCGCTCGGGTCTAACCCCAGCGGTTTGCTGTGGCTCTCCGTTGCCTGAGGTCAAAGCAAAGTGAGGACGGGGACCTGAGGCTTGATGATACCAGTTTTGGCCGAGGTTGCGTGACTGGATTTGGGATCAGGTTGGGTCGCGGTTGATCGAGTCCGCCCGTTCGGATCTGGACTTGATACTATGTATGGAAAGTATCGAGTTCAGCAAGGAGCAAATAATGCAACGGTGTTTCTGGAGCTCTGCTGAGCCATGCAGAGATTCAGAGATCCGAGCTATTGGCAGCTTAGTTAGTGGGTGTGTGTTGGGCCACAACTGGCTGCTTTGGCCCAGTTAGCTCGATTCAACGCGATGTCGGCGGATAGGTGGGCCTGCGCTCGTGATCCAGCCTGGGCAGTAGACAAGGAGACAAGATGGCAAACCGTTGGTGATTCCAAAGCCGTGGCAGCAAAGGAGTTGTGTACTGCGTACGACATACGAAGATGGGTCTGACGACAATGCTCCTGTTTATTTATTTTGCAGCTTTGCTCCTGCCCTTTTATTACAGATTTTGCGGCCGACTGGATCTCCCAAACTGGAAGGTGTTGGTGAGGGGAAGGTACAATGGATGAAGGCTTGAACCGCCACTCTTTCTCCCTCTATCTGGCAGGCGATGTGGTAGATCCCATTCGTTGGACCGACGCCAAGCGAGTAGCTGGCTACTTGGGGAAAGAGACGAAATGGGCAGGAACGTCTTGACACCCGGGTGTGATCCTTGCGATAAGATAAACGAATTTGCAGCTGTTCTGGCAGGACCATTCGGCTGGTGGACCGCCCTTGGAATGTCCCCGTGAGAGCCATCAAGTTAGGCCTGAAGAGTGCCTGAAGAGGCCTAAAGAGGCCTAAAGAGGCCTGAAGAGGGGCCATTAACACACCTTATTGCTCCATGTGAACAGACATTATTAATTGGCTTTGGGGGGCCTTGGCTGGTCTTCTGCCCTTTCCGATTACGCTTGCCTTTCGAGCCTTTCCCGCGCCTGCCCTTTCTGTTTTCCGTCATCTCCTCACCACATCAACTCGTCATCTCGCCATTTCCGTCACTTTCCCCATCTCCTTCGCTCCTACCTCCTCTTTTACGCTTCACCCTCTGTTCCTTTCCATTTCGTCACGGTTCAAACGCGGCTGTATTATCTAATCGGCTCATTCACGCTTCACCGTTCTTTCTCGCGCACCAACTCATTTCGGCATCTCCACCTTAACGCAGAAATTTTCACTATTTCTACCATCTCGATTATCTTCCCGCCGGCCTTCTTCGACCAAGCCTTCTCTCTTTCCAGTACGATTGACGGCACTTGCCAATGGGATGAGCCGTCAAGGCGACACCCAGACTCTGGTCGAGTCGTTCTGCGCCCTCGCAGATGAGGTGCAGAATCTGATTGATCGCAAGACCATTCTCGAGCACAAGCTGCGGTTTGCCGCCGAGCAGGTGAGTCCCTTTGTTGTGTTTCCCACTCTGTACAACACGTGTGGCACCGGCGGCAATGTGTCTCCCTGTTTCTTCCATGATGAGAAGTTATTAGCTCTAGATCTTGAACCGCTTCGGCGGTCACGATAGAAAACTTTTACCACTTTCTGAACGAAACATGTCTCTGCCCTCTTCTACAACACACACCCTGCATCCTCTCCTACCCTTGACTCCACATGCAAGCTAACAGGCTGCAGTACCAACAGCTCGCCGACAAGTATGCCCCGACTGCCCCCGAGGTGTCCGAGACCCTTGCCAACCTGCAAATCCCACCCGACGACCACAAACCTCCCATTCCCAGTTCCTATGTCCCGCTGCCCAAGCGCGGACAACAGGCCGGCTGCAGCCAGCACCAGATTGCTCTGTTGATCCGGGACGGCCGGCGTGCTGCCCAGCAACTGACTGAACATTCGCGCACCACCGACGGAAGCATTGGCGGCGGCGGGCACGGCCACAGTGGCGGTGGCGGCGGCGGCTCGAGCAAAGAAGCTTCGTCGGGCACCGCCATTACGACCATGTCCATCATGATGGAGCAGGACTTTACGGTGGAGGGCAAAAAGGGCGTCCTCGACTGCCCCTTTTCGGCCATCAAGCGGCGGCAACAGCTGCTGCGGCAGCAACAGCAACTCGAACAGGAGAACCAACAGCTGCACATCACTGGCGGTGGCAGCAGTGCAGAGGCTGGCGGTCTCGATGTAGATCTCGATCACAACGATGCCGATACGGCCGACATTGCGGCAGCAGCGGGACCGCCTGGCACCCAGTCTGCCCACGGAGGCGGCGCCGCGAGCGGCGAAGCGGCCAGTCCCCCAGTCGAGGATCCAATCTGTGCCGCGCTGGCCGACGAGAGTGCATCCCAGCACGGGGGAACATCGAACGGCGGCGCGCCGCGGTGCCCGATCCGTTTCCTCGACCAGCACTCGCCGGAAGAGGTTGCGCACTACGTGGAGACGCACAAGCACCAGCTGCCGCGCAGCCACGCCATCTGCCTGAAGCGCTACAACAAGAACGAGGAGCAGATTCGCAAGATGGATGCCAAGTACGGCAATCTTGTCAACATGATTTCGGGTCTCGGCCAGTTTCACCAGCCGATGCTGGCTTCGGCGGAGCCGGGTCTTGCTGGTGCCGAGGGCGGTACTCTCAGCGGTGGTGCCGTTCTGGGTGTCGACGAGCGTGAAGAGGGCGAAGTGGTCGACCGCGCCAAGCTCCATAAAGACTCCCACGAACGCGTCAAGACGTGGGCGAACGGCGTGTCTGCCAGCAGCGAAGACGCTGAAGACGACGACTTTGACAACAGCGGTGACCGTCATGGTCACGACGATGGCCAAAGTGCCGACGCCCGAGGTTGGCGTCGCAGTACGGCATATAGTGGTGGCCGCGAATCCAGTGGCAGCGGTGGCGATAACACGGAACCGGAGCGGGAGAGTCACTTTGACCGGCCGCTCAAGGAGGTGCGTCTCGGCGAGTCACCGAGCCGGCCGTGGGGTATTGCCGTTCCGGTCTCGTCGATGCCATTGGATGCAGCCGCACAGCCACCGCTGTCACCGCCGGCGGCCCCTGTTCGTATGCCGAGTCCTGTTCGTGCGCCTCTGACAAACCGTGCACCTCCTGTTTCTCCCAGCAAACCCCAGCCAGAACGCAAGTGCCCATTTGACCAAAGCAAGTTTGGCCTGGGGATCTCACCACCACCCGGCCATGTTCCTGTGGAACCTGACGAGAGGGAGGCAGATGGGGCGGTCGAGACACCGGCTGAGACGACGCCCCGTGTCAGTGATAAACCCGATAAGACGGTCCAGACCGATCGACCATTCTCGCCGATGAAGCCTCCGCAAGCCACTCCGCAGACCTTCACCCAACCTGCGTTTGTCAACCTTCCACCGCAGACGGCTGCCCAAGGCAACACCGACGGAAAGAACATGGCTGGCCCCGTCCCGCAGATGCTCTTCACTGGCCCGGTGTTCATCGGATACCCGATGGAGCAAGCGGCGCAGTTCTTGCAAATGTACCACAACCCTCAGGGACAGGGGCAGGGCCAGGGACGGTAGATGGTGTGTACCCGTCACGAACCCTACTGTCCTCTTGTCTTTTTCTATACAGCCTTCTATCCTATTTTGTAATGTTTTCACCCCATGATTCATGTGCAACGATACCTGCTCGTTTGGAAGCTTTCCCCTTTTCTTTTCTTTTCTTTCGTTTTGTCATCTCTGTTTACTTAGCGTTGGCGTCTTCATGTTTTGGCTATGTTTGCATTATTATTTTCGGCGCGTCTGTTTTATTGAAGGAGTTTATGACCATGCTACGGCATCGAGTCTTGGTTTTTATATTTTTATTTTTAGAGGTTTCATCACCATGCTTGCCCGAGCAGCCTCGTTACTCAAATTGTCTGATACAATATTATTCAAGGGGCAAAGCCAGATAGCCTTTGCTCCTATTTCCCATAAAATTATGGCTACTCTCAAAACGAAGTGAACGACAGAAACAAAATTCATGTTTGTTTCTGTTTCTTGTCTATTGTATATGTGCGTGCCTGACGTAAATTATACAGAGAAAAGCACCAAAGGATGCAAGCAATCGTCGACCCAAGACAAAACGCCGAAATACAAAGAACAAAACAAGGTAAGAAATAGATACGTAGATGGCGATGCCAAGTACCCAGCAAAAGGTATGCAAAAGAAGAATGGTAGGGGACAGCCATGTATTACACAACAAACACTCGTCCCCGGCACGGCACTACTACCGCTTCCCCGCCGGCGGTCGCTCACCGATTTCGCCGTCGCTCTCGTCGTGGTAGGACGGGGTTCGGCTGTGGCCGCCGGGCGCCGTGCTGCCGGCGTCATGGTCGTCGCCGCCGTCGCCGTCGGCAAAGTGGTCGGCGGCCCAGAGGGAAATGTCGTCGTCGTCCATGAGGGCGGCAACGTCGGCGTCTTCGGGGTCCATCAGCGGTGCGTTGTCGTCGTAGTCAAAGCCGTCGGCGCTGCCGCTGCCGGTGTCGGCGTAGACTCCGGCGGCGCGGCGCGAAGCAGCAGCACCACCGACACGGCCCTCTTCGGCCAGTCCCTCCTCCGCGGCAATCTCGGCGGCGCGGGCCATGGTGCGGCGGAAGATAAAGAGGCCGACGCCGACGCCAATCAGGCCAAAGACGGCCATGCTGATGTAGTTGAAGGCCTTGGCGCCGGCGGACATGTTGTCGCCGTCCTCGGCCAGTTTGGCGAGCCGGCTGCCGATGAAGACGTGGACCAGCAGCTTGGGGCTCGCAATGGCGGTGCTGATGGCAAAGTTGAGCGGGGTGATGCTGGGGATGGTGGCCAAGAAGCCGTTGCTCAGGCTGTAGGGCAGCGGGCAGAAGCGGACCGCGGCCAGCACCCAGATGCCGTCGCGGCGCAGGACCTGGCTGAGGGCGACAAAGCGGTGGTTGGTGCCGACGAGACGGTCGACGTAGCCGCTGAGCACGGTGCGGCTGGCAACAAAGGCGGCGAGGCTGCCGATGACATTGGCGGAGGCGGCAATGGGCCAGCCGCCGGGGAAGCCATACACCACACCGGCGAGGGTGCAGGCGGTGCTGTAGCCGATGATGGGCGGGAAGCCCGTGATGAAGATGAGCAGCCACACCAGGACCCAGCCGCCGGTCAGGTCGTGCCAGCCCTTGGCCATGGGCCCCAGAGCGGAAAAGATGCGGTGGCTGTAGACGAGCATGAGAATGCCCAGAGCAAGGCTGACGGCGCCAAAGGCCACGAACAAGATGCGGTGCAGGATGGAGAGGCGGATGTAAAAGGCGAGCGCGTGGTTGGCCGACGCGTTGGCCCAGCGCCAGAGCGAGCCGGCGGTGGACGACGCAGTGGCGATGGCACCGCGGATGCCGGCGGGGCCACGTCGCCGGCGCGCTCCTGCACTTCTAGAAAAGGAGGAGCGGCCGGTGTTTCTCCGGCTGCTTCTGCCATCACCGCCACCACCGCCACCACTGCCACCACCACTACCAAAGGAGCTGCGGCTGCGGTGCGAGTTGGCACGGTTGATGGAGAAGTGCGAGTGCTGCGGGCTGCTGTGGCCCGTGCTGCCGCCGGTATTGTCGGGACGAAGGGCCCATGCCGGCTGCGGCGCGGGCGAGGTCGAGGCCGACCTGGGGGAGCCGGAGGTCTTGATGTTCATGCTGGCGGGGACTCGGGGGGACGGTGAGCGGGAACCGTTGGGAGAGGGAGCCAGCGGGACGGCGGCGGCAGCAGAGACCGGCGCGTGGTCGTCGGCCATGACCAGGAAATGGGAGACGGAGGTGCGGCCCGAAACAGGGAGGAGAGTCGAAACAAAAAGGGAAAAGTCGAGTGAAGCTTTCCGGACGAGCCGGGGTACCCTCTTGAGGTATGTGGAGATGCGTGGTTGGCGCAGAGGTGCGCCGAAACGGGGGGAAGGGCGCGACAGTGAAAAGGAGGCTCACTGTCCGAGACAAAAAGCATCAATTCGCCATGTGAAGCGGTCGAGACGAAGGAGAGCGGTTCGTTTATCGATGTAAACGACAGAAGAAAAAAGAAAGTCGAGAGGAGGAGGATTCGACGATGTTCGCTCCTGCCGCAGACGTGTTTCTCTAGTGTCAGACAGACAGCCAGGGCGGCTGAGCAAGGGAAGGATCGAAGGAAGGGGCACAAGGAAAGTGCGTGTCAGCAAGAGCCAATGCCACCCAACAGCGCGGCTACTACGGGCGCCGCGGCACGTTTTAGGGACGCTATTTTAGAGCTCCAGCGACAAACAGGAGAAAACGTGCATCGAGGGTACGAAACAACGCGAAATGTGAAATGCGACGTGCTGCTGGTGTTTTCGTTCTTCTGGCTTGTCAGTAGGCAGTCGTCGTCACAGTAATTACATTACGGATTGGTAGAAAAATGCCACGGCGGAGAACATCCTTGAGAGGCTCTTCTGACTTGGAATCTTTTAATATTCTTCGAAGAGAGTAGATCGATTCCTCCTTTCGTTCACTGCCGAGTCAGGATCAAGTCCAGGCGCGGTACAGGCGGTCGCAGTACGGATTGGTGACTGAGAAAATACAGAAACTGTCAGCCACTTCACACAATAAAGACCCGAGAAAGGGGTAGGCGCAAACATTGCATGCTAAGATAGAAAGTACTTTGTTTACGCGGCTTTCTCTTTCTTTTTCATCTTTCAATTACGCCGCGCTTGAAAAAAACAAAGGAGGCTGCCGCACATAAAAACTGGCAGTTAAAGCCAGCTGACTGGTCAGCTTCAACGCCGCCTTGCTGCCAGTCCCGTAGAGCTGTTTGAAGGATGCCTTTCGTCTTTCGTCCTCCAAAAAGGACAAGCTTATGATTTAACCGACCAGGCCATAAACAGCGGCGCTCAGCGAGATTCTGGTGTGTGGGCCAAGTCGTGGTGAGCGAGGCGCATTACTTCGCTGAAATACGGGCAATTAAACCAGGTGCAGAGTACTTAAGTTCTTTTTGATTACTGTTTTTCAATGACTAATAACCGGTCTGGAACCGGGCAATTGGCTTAGGTGGTATAGCGCCCGCTTAGCATGAGCAAAATCGCTATGTCAACCTGCGGGAGGTCCAGGGTTCGAGTCCCTGATTGTCCATTTTTTTGTCTTTTTCTTTCTTTCTTTTTTTGTTAATGCTCCGGAGGCCAAAGTTTGGCTGCGCTTGTGGCGATGCACAAAGACTGAATAGCTTAAATAATTAAACGAACTGACATATCTGTGCTTGATGTGAGTATGTTCTCGACGGTTAAAACTGCTGTTCCTGGACTTTTTGAATACATCGTCAGTTTTGACGTTTCTGTACATTGATATACCACGAGGAACAATCTAAAATATACCGTAACTCCCTTTGTCGACCTCCCGAGCAAGTCATCCACCCGTCAACAAATCCACAATTGTAGTTGGTGGGTTGTCCGGCATTGTTGCAATGCCCTTGACGACAATCCACTTCTACTAGCCCAAACGCCACTATCGACTTTTCAGGCGCTGTCTTCTTATCGGTAGACAACCCGAGTTAACTCCTCCTCCGCACGTTTAGTCACAGTCACCCATCTCAGACTTCCACATTCTTCTTTAACAAAACTATTTACACCTCACCTCACAATGGCAACTCTGTCCGACAAGGAGGCGTTTGAGATTGCGTACGAGGAGGCCAAGAAGGGCTTTGAGGAGGGTGGTGTGCCGGTAAGCCTCCAAACTGCATCATCGGAGATGGCCGACAGTCCTTGAACAGCGGCAGCTCCTCCTCATGCTCTGCTTTTGTTTCTGATTTCTTTCTGCTTCTCTGTCCACACACGGGCCTACTGACCTACTGACAAACGTAGATTGGCGCCGCCCTCGTCTCGGCCGACGGCAAGCTCATGGGCAGCGGCCGCAACCTGCGCGTCCAGAGCGGCTCGGCCATTCACCACGGCGAGACGTCGGCGCTCTTCAACAGCGGTCGCCGGCCCGCCGGTGACTACAAGGGTCCGTTGTTCCTGCTTCCCTCCTTTTTGTCTTTTTTTCCCACGCGCCTCGGTACTGACATTCCCCTTTCCCTCCCTCCCCCCCCCTCGCCCACAGGCAGCACCATGTACACCTCGCTGTCGCCCTGCGACATGTGCACCGGCGCGTGTCTGCTGTACGGCGTGGGCCGTGTCGTCATTGGCGAGAACCGGACCTTTTTGGGCGGCGAGGCGTACCTCAAGCAGCGCGGCGTCGAGGTGGTCGTGCTGGACGACCCGCGGTGCAAGGCGCTGATGGATGCCTTTATCGAGAAGAGCCCGGATCTGTGGAACGAGGACATTGGCGTCGAGGAGCACACCCGCGTCAAGGCCGGCACCATTGAGGCATAAGGGGGGGCATAGGACACGGGCGATAAGATGGATAGGATGGATGCGGAGGTGATTCCAGGTACATAGGACAACATACTCAGAAATAGACTATGTGTATTGTCGGACTCGGCAAGTGAGGTTCTACATTTGTAACGTTTTGAATTTAGTTTCTTAGCTTCTTAATTTCTCAAAAGAACACGCCTCTCCTAAAGCGCGCAAAGCAGATAAACCCCAATGACCTAGGTGAACGCAAAGTACCACTGGCTATTCCCTGTATTCCCTGTTTGTCCCATTTTCTGTGCCCCTTGCACCGGATCACTTTTTGCCAGATTCCGGGAAATGGTATACGAAAATTGCAATAACAAATCAATGCTCAGACAATCAAAAGTATCTCAAAAGAGAGAAGAGGAAAATAGGAAAAGAAGAAAAGACGAAAACATAATGTACGCCAGAAAACCCAAGCCAAAATGAAACCAAACAAAGCAAAAAAAGATAAAAGTACATCAAATTAAACAATCGTCAGAGGCAGTCAGGGTCTGCGACGATGAACGGTCCTTACGAAAGCAAGTTGCGCAGAGACGGGTTGGAGCTTGCCGAACTGCCGTTGCGCGGCTCACTGGGCCGCGGCGGCGGCGGCGCGGCGTTGTTCGCTGGACCGCGAAGGGTAAAGTCCTCGCGCGTCACATTGTTTGTGTTGAGTCCGGCGTTCATAAACGACGCATTCGACGAAGCCGATCGCTGCGGGTGCAGCATTTGCGCAAATGGATGGTGCGGGCTTGTGCTTTGCATCTGCGGCGAATGCTGTGACGACCCGTGTGACGTTCCGTACGGCGCATGTCCGCCGTAGCTGTGGCCGTACGGGTCCCGGCTGTTGCGCTCGTGCGCCAGAGGCGGTGGCGGACCGCCTAGGCTACGCCGGGGCGGCGACGGTGGGCGGCCATTCATCACGCTCTGGCCCATGTACTCGCCACCACTGCTCCCACTGTTCTGCATGCCGCTGAGCGGCGGCGGACGCAGGTGGTTGTGCGTGAAGCTGTTGCTCGTGCTTGCGCTGTGCAGCGGTTCACGACGCGACGACGGCGGCGGAGGCGGTGGCGCTTGCGACGATGTAGGCGGACGACGCCAGTCGGAATAGGACGACGAGGAATACGGGTGGACAGGCGCAGGCGGGGCCTGCTGTGAGACAGACGACCGAGGGGGAACAGACATCGAGTGTGGCGAGTGGTGCTGCTGCATGTGCGGAGCCGAATGCATCGTATGGGGAGACGGAGTGCCTCGTGATGAGCCCGGCCGAATGGACGTAAGTGGCGGCGGTGCCTGTTGTGGGAGCGGCGGGGGCGGCGGCGGAGCAGCACCGGACGAGCCCATGTTGGAGGACCAGTACCGCGGTGCCATGTCGGGTGGCGACCGAGACGAGCCAAGACCCGTAGGCGGACCGCCACTGCTTGACGGAGGGTGCGTCGAGGCCGGCAGCTGCTGTGCGTGCGAGTACGGCGACCGCTGGGGGGGATCTGGGCGTGCGTGGTCGACAGGATGCAGGATATTGTGATGGTGCGACGACGGCGCGCGAGGAGGCAACTGCGACGGTGTCTGCGGCTGCGACAGCGACTGCGAAGGTGGCGGGAGGGGCTGCTGATGCGCTGGCAACAGAGGCGGTGCCTGGTGCAGTTGCGATTGCGATGGTGGCGGTCGCGATAGGTCGGACTCAGGCGGGTACCGTGGCGCCAGCCGTTGCATGTCGTCCGAATACGGCTCTTCTTCTCTCTTAACGACAGTCGAGCGGTGCTCCGTCTCGCGCGATTGGCTTGGAGTGCCCGTCAGGCTGTGGGCGATGTGGCCCTGGCTGCTGCCACTGCGATGGTGGTGGTGCTGGGTGTGGGGTGAAGCCTGGGGGTTCGGCCGGCCGCCATGAGGGTGGCTGGTGAACTCCGTAACCAGGCCGCGAGCAAGCTCGTGTTCCTGGGCGCGCTCCTGTTCCCGGTGGACGTGCTCGAGGCCGTGCACGGCCCGATCGTGCATCTCGCGGTCGTGGCTGTGGGGCGAAGGCTTGCGGCCTGTCTTCTTGCACTTGTGGCACTGGTAGTTGCGCTGGGCAACAAACTTTTGCGCCTCCTCGCCCATCTTGCCGTAGAACCCGTTGGCGAGTTCGCGCTCTTGCGTCTTGTCGATGGCATGCCACTTGGGGCTGACGTCGCTGCCGCACGTGAGGCAGACCTTGTTGTCCTTGACGGCTTTCTTGGCCCCCACGGCCGTCGCCGTCGCCGCCGAGAGCTTGCTGCCGAAGTCGCCGTTGAGATACACCGAGCCCTGGCGGCTGTTGCTACCGTTGCTCTGAGGCGCCGTGTTCTGGTCGGGGGACGATCCTCTGCCTGCAGCCGAGTTCGCACCGGCCACCAGCGAGCCCGACATCTTGGAGGCGATCGAGAGGAGGTTAGCCTTGCGCGCGCAGCCGGTCAGGGCGAGGTCGGCCTGCTTGTAGTTCTCGACGTAAAACTGAAGACCCGACATGTCCGAGCCATCAATCTTCTCGTACGGCAGGTACGCCGAGCTCTTCAGTGGGATGTGGTCGCGGCACCAAATCGCCGGTACCAGCAGACCGTTGACGCCGTTTAGGGTGACAATGTTGGCCTGGTCGCGGCGCGAGCCCTTGACGGGGACGAGGTCGAAGCCAAAGATATAGCCGGCTTGGTGCGCGCACTGCACATGGAACTGCGCACGGCACTGGTTGCACGACACGCACGCGCCAGTGGACTTGGTCTTGCAGATTTTGCATTGCTCGTCGTACCGGGCCCGCGGGACGGAGGCAACGCCCTCAGCCGGTTCGAGAGCGCGGGCCCTGCCAAACTTGATCTCCGGTGTCCACACGGCGCAGGTGACGTGGATCCAGTTGTTGTCAGCCGTCCGCTTGAGCGCCTCGCGCGGGTTGACGGGCTTGTTGAGCTCCTCTTGGCGCTTTCTGTAGTACTCGTCGGCTTTCTTGGCCTGTTCACGATCGATGCGGTCCCGTTCGCGACCTTGTGCGTCGGATCTCTTGCTGTGCGAGGACGACGTCTGTGCGCCGGCGGCAGGCTTGCTGTGCTCGACCGGGCAAAGGACGCAGTTGTAGTTGATGGACATGTGGGGGTTGCGGTCGTTGGTGCACATGTCGCAAAGCCACTTGTGCGGGTTGCGGTTGTCGAGAACGCCATAGCAGCTCCGGTGCACGGTCAGGCGGCAGTCGCGGCACACCACGCGCTGGTCCTCATTCGCCAGATTTGTCTTGAGACAGACAGCACAGGGGAGCTTCTTCGGCTCGGGCAGAAGTTCGGCCACCGTACGCGAGTAGGCGTTGGCTGAGGAGCGTCCTCCCCCTACAGCGGGCGTCGATCCGTTGGAGCGTCCGCCGCCTGATGCACGCTCTGCGGTGGCAGATCGGTCCCGTTCGGCGGCCGCCCGCTCGGCGTTGGCCCGTTCGCGATCGCGCCGTCTGTTGTTGGACGACGATGCAGGGTATGTCGAGCTAGATGCGGAGTCTGACGCGTTGTAGTCGGCGTCCTTGTCGGCAGCGCTGCCGTTCTGGCCCTTGAGTCGCTTGCGTGGAGGTTCCGTGGACTGGTGGAGGGCGCTGAAGTTGGCTTCGGTAAGGCGGATCATCTCCTCAGCTGCGGCGATTTCTTTCATAAGTTCGTCGTCCAGCTTGCGCTTCACGAGACGGCCGCCCGCGTTGGTGACCTTGGCGGTGAGGGCCTCCACATCCTCCCATTGCACCGCATACCGGCGCCAGAGCTCGGAGCAGCGACGGCACAGCGCTGCTACATACTGCTGCGTGTTCTGGTTCTGGCTCCTCTCGCGGTTGGAACTGCGACCACTGCCTCCACCGAGCGACTCGGCGAGGACACCGGTGGGCACAGCAGCAGGTGCGCGGCGCCACTGCCGGGACGTCTTTGTGCTACAGAACTTGCACTGGAACTGGCGTTTGAGAGCGTCGGCCTTGTCGGTATCAAAGGCAGAGTCGTCAACGTCATCGGCCACGTCGTCCTGAATCTTATTCGCGGCGGCGGCCTCGGCCTTCTTGGCCTCCTTTGCCTCCTTCTTGCCTTTGCGGCTGGCATTGTTGCCCCAGATGATCTTGCCGCGCTCGCTCTTCTTCCAGGCGTAGTAGTAGCGCACAATGTCACCGTAAAATACTGTCTTGACGTGGCGCGTAACGAGGTGGAGCTCCGAGCCGAATTTGGTAACGGCGTCCTCAAACCGCTTGTACTCGGCGGCGTTGAGGATGGGCTCCCTAAACTCATCTGGCTTCTTGCGGTCAAGCTCCTTCAGCGCCTTGTCTGTGTTGAAGTTGTTGTGGAACAGCAGATCCGCAGCCACGTCGTGCAGGTTGGTCGACCGCGGAGGTACGCCGAGCTTTGCAGCTTTTGCGACGGCCTTGTCCATAAACTGGTCGATTTCCTCGTCGGAGATGTCGGGTGTCTTCTTCGTCTTGGCGTCCTTCGTCTCAGGCGGGTCAATGTCCATCTTGCAGTCGGCGGAGCCTGCGTCGGCGTCGGCGGCACCGGCAGCCGGCTTCTCAGCGGGGGGGACACTTGGCGGCGCGTTGGGCGACTTGTACAGTAGGTACGCCGTGTTGCGCTCGTCGTCGTCGTCGTAGTCCTGCCCACGCTCAATGTAGCCGGCGGGTGTGTCCTGGATCCACTTCGGGCGGCTCTCGCGCTCGCGTTCGTATGCGGCCAGTGCTTCCTTGTTCTGCCGAGCCTCACGGCGGGTGGCCTTCTTGATGTCGGGCGGCATCACATACTCGACCGGCCGGCCCGGCCAGGGCAAGACCACAGCCTGGTGCCGGGGGCCGACACGGGTCGCAGCGCGCGGATAGATGCGATCGTCGTAGTCCAGCGCGTCCTCGACCTTGCAGTGAATGCCGAGGTACCGGTACGGCCAGAGACTGGCCTGGTACTGCTGTTCAGCTGTCGCTGGCGGGTGCGCATCTTCGTCCTGATCGGGACTGGTGCGGCCGGTGTCTCCACCAGCACCGTCCTCGTCGTCGTCATCGAGCAGCTCGTCGTCGTCGGCGGCGGCTGCGGTGGCAGCGCCGGCGGCGGCGCCGGTCGCATCGGGGGTGCGGCCGTCAATGACGTTCGGCGTGTGGCGTGCCTCCAAGAGGCGTTCCTGGGCGCGACTGCATGCAGCACAGGACCATGCGAAGCCACGGGAGGGCTTCTTCAGTAGAGGAGGGCGCACACAGCTCATGTGGTAGGTCTTTGCGCACACAGCACAGTCGACGGAGTTGTTGCTAAGAGTGGGTCCCGTTAGCGCCTAGTTCGCGTCACGTAGTGGTCTAGCCATATCGGGAAATAGGCGTGGGGCGCCTGCATAAAACAGCCGATAAAACAGCAAAACAATTAAAAAGGTAAAAAGACGGGCGAGGAAAACATGGGAGCCCAATGGGAGAGAGCCCCCATTAGAAAGGGCATGGCCAAGGCAAAGACGGCCAAGGGGAAAGGAGAGCGAAAAGTCAGGAATGGGGGGGCCGGGGAGGACTGATGCATAAGGCAGCGGGCGTGACAACACAATGACTGCAGAGGGGAAAATGACAAAGGACAAAAAAAGAAAGAAAGAAAAAAGAAAAAGAATGAGGCGCATTTTGGCTTTGTTTTCATCTTACCTTGCACAAAAGCCACTGCAACGCTTGCACTGCTTTGCAGCAGCAGTGAGATCCTTGCCACGTCCCTGCTCGATTAAAATGTAGCGCCAGCGCTCGTGGAGCACCTTTTTGACGCGATCCGGCACGTTGACGATTTGGAACGTCGGGATGACTTCGTAGTTTTTCTGGATGTAGCGGTCGTAGAGCTTATCGAACCAGAAGCAGTTGGGCTCTTTGCGGTACAAATCCAGGCTGTCGATTTCGGCCTTGTGCTTGATCGTACATTTGCCGCGCAGCGCAGTCAATGGCGAAATGTCGGAGTGCATGGTGGCGAAAACGGAGCGAGTGTCCTGCGCTTTCCGGCCAATGTCCCTAGGCCGGTAATACCAGTTGACGCGCACCGCATCGACAGGGAGAGACGTGTTGTTCTTGGGATGCAGAAATTCCATCACACGGCCCAGATAGTAGGGCTCGCCAGGTGGTTCGCATACCAGGTATACGTGGTCTGCCAGGTTGAGACCGTTAGAAATGTTGTTGGGCGAAAAACGCCGACGAGGGAAAAATACGCGAAAAACAAAACTTACCATTCACATTCAGCACAGAGCCGTCGTCGGCCACGAGCTGACCAGCCTTGGTCGGCTTGGCACCGTGCTTTTCAAATGTCATCAGATTCGTGTTGCCGTAGCCATTTGTGCCATCGGCGTGCGATGCGGACGATGCGGCGGCGGCAGCGGCAGCGGCAGCAGCGCCATTCTTCTTGAGAGAAATGTTGAGGAGCGGCGTGGACGAGCCGTACGCGGTGCCACTACTGCTGCCGCTGCTGGGGCTGGCCTTGTCGCTGGAACTGGAACCGGCGGCTGCCTTGCGCTTCCGCGGGTTGGACGACGATTGTGATTGACTGCTGGTACCGTTGGTGGATGCGACCGACGAGGCGTGATGGTGGTCTCTGTCCTTGTGCTGCGAATGCGCGGACGACGAGGACTTGCTGTGGCTGGTGCTGTTCTGGTGGTTGCTGCTGCTGGCGGCGCCGCTGTCAGACGCGTTTGCGGAAGACGAAGGCAACGGCTTGCGTAACCGGTCGCGTTCGCGTTCGCGTTCGGAGCTGCCATTGCTGTGGCCATTCGTTGGGCGAAGCGGCTCTCTGTCCAGGAGCGAGGCAGACGACGACGCGCCAGCAGCTGTTGAGCCGGAGGATCCTGCGTTGGCGGACTTGCGTGACGACGAGGACGACGACTCGGCCTTCTTGGCGGGTTCGTCGTCGCGTCGCTCAGGGTACATTTCGAACATGTCCATGTCCTTGTCCTCAGCGTAGTTGGGGCGCGCGCCGCCGGTCCGGTTGCGTGACCGCGTGCCGTAGTGCGATGCAGCGTCGCCGTTCGTCGCGGCGGTGCCGTTGGTGCTGTCGCCGTTGGTGCTGTCTCGCGATGGCCGCTTGCTTATTGACGATGTCGATGTCGCTGCTGCAGCGGCTGGTGACGACGAGCGGCGTGTGCGGTTTGCACTGCTCGGTGGTGGTGTGGGATCCGACATCTTGGGCAGCACGGAGTAGGAGGAGGATGCTAAGGAGGCGGGCAGTTTGTGTGAGGTAGAGTTTGAGGAGGACTGAGGCTTTGGTGATGATGATTTGGACGACGGCAAGGTGGATCTGGCCGAACTGGTGCTGGCGGCAGCAGCTGCGGAAGTGCTTGCAGTCGCAGAGGTTGACGAGCCCTCGACACCTGCACTGCCACTACTTGGTTGTGATGATTTGGGGGGCGCCATGGCTGATGGGTGTTGGCGATGACGCCTAAAACGGATTTTGTGGTGACGGAGGTCAAAATGGGAAATGGGGTTGGTCGAAGAGGAAGAAAAGTACAAAAGAGAAAAAATGGGGAAAGGGAAGTGGACGAGCGGCGAGCCGTCACCTCTACAATGCGACAAAGGGGGGGGGGGGGGGGGACAAAAGGACGGAAGGGTGGTGACTAGCAGTGAAGGGCCATGTGCATCTCGACCAGGCACGCGAGAGAGCAAGGTCAAGGGTCAATAAAGACGGGAGGGGGGGCGAAAAAAAGAGAGTAAGACGATATGTCGACCACGGGAGGGAGAACGAAAGGCAACGAAAAGGTAAGAAGCCGACGAACTAGCAGAAATACGGCGCTGCGGGCGGAAAATGCATCACGCTGGAATCTGCATGACGTGGACAGTCGTTGGCGAGAGAGAGCGATATGAGTGATCACGCCGAGACGGTGGTTGAGAGTAATCCGCGGTGTTGTGTTGATGGGAGAAGCGGATGGGGAAAAGAGAGATGGGAGAAGAATAGAAAGTGGAAAGAAGAGTGGAGGGAAGAAGGAAAAAAACGAAATGAACTGGACGAGTTTGTTCGTCGAAGAAAACGATGGGCGGGTCGAAGATCGAAGGCTGAGAGAAAACAACAAGGCGTGTTGTGTGGTGAGAAGGAAAGAGGAAAGAAAGGAGAATGAGAATAAGAAATTATGAGAATAAGAATAGGAAGTGGTAGGAATACAAGAGGCACGCAGCAGAAAAAAGACTAAGAAGGCCAAATGGGACCAAATAGCGACTAAGAAGGCCGTGCAGCCAACGGTTCCGGGCCAGTAAGACGGGAGTGGCAGGGCGTGTCGAGCAGGGTAGACGACGCGAGGGAAGCGGGAAAAGGTGGCAACAGGCACGGAAAAGGGCGTGTGTAAGGTGTTTTGAAAAAAGGTGCTTTGATATGTGGCCGACGGCGGGCGAAGAGGTGACAAGTGATGAGCGACCAAGACTAGCGAACGGTTGTCGAGGGACGGGGGCGCTGGGCGATGAACGAACGGGCGACGTCAAAAATTACAAAAGCCGGACGGACGGTCCTAGGCGTGAGGCGCGAGGCGTGCGATTTGAAGTGTGGCGGCGAGGATAAGGAGAAAGAGAAGGGCGGGCGTGGAGAAGACGTCGCGGGTTCGACGAAAGGCAAATGAAGATGTCGTGGAGGACGGTGTTCTTTTGCTATTTCCCTTTCTATTTTGCAGCTAGTTCGGGTTGCCACCCGTTTCCCTTTTCCCTCTTCCCTGGCTCCGTTGCTGTTTTGGGTTTTTCTGGGTTTTGGGGGGTTTTTGGGTGTGGGCTTGGCACCACGAAGGATATTGTCGTGTCCAGCGAGTACGGTGTATGTCGTATGTCGTACTCTGTCGAGTAATACACAGAGTCTCCAGTGATGAACGTCTGTGGCTTTGGCGATTTGACCAAGTGAAGTGACTGGGGGTGTTTGGAAATGGATGCAGGACGGAAGCTGGCAGCGAAGACGACCGTCGGAGATGAAACGGCAGGGCGACAATGGAAGACAAACAATCGATGGCCGGACTAGAGTGTAGGCACAGCCAAGCTTGCTTGATGCGATGAATTGGAATGCTTCCGGGCAGGGAGACGAACACAGGGGGGGCCGTGTTGACAGGGCGGAGTGGACGTGGGAGATGGTAAGTGGGAAGGGGAAGTGGAAGTGGGAGGTGATGTGAGGGTTGGCGATGGAAGAGTGGAATATAACGATTCTCGCACAAACAAGCAGCTACGGCATGGACAGGACAGGAAAGGGACGATGCTGTTACAGGACAGCACAAATGTACGCACAAGGCAGGAACGACGTGCCTACGACGTCTACGACGAAATGCTACGGGAAGGTGACACGAAAGCGCAAAATCACGAGCGACCCAACGACGACCAAGTTCGCTCCTTCTCGATTTGCAGAAAGGGGGAGAACGACACAGAGGCTGAGAGCGACGGTCGTGAAAAAAGAGACAATGGGCGCATGCGGATGATGGGTGATATATATGGGGAAAGTGGAAATGAGAGGCCGAGACGGGTCGTGGGCCTTGGGGGGGCCTGGGAGTGTTTCTGTGAGTTCTGTGAGAGGGGGGGTTTGGGACCGGGACTAGAGGGGGTGTGTGGATAACGGAATGCACTACTTCGTACGGACTACGAGAGCATGGAGTCAGGAAAGAAGGAACGGCGGGACACTGCTACTGCGACTTCGACCGAGGATATGGGGTGTGTTTGGTGTCGTTTTCGGTGACCACGGACGTGTCAATACACAATTCACGAAGAACAGGCAGGAAGGTCCGGGGAAGGAGGAAGCGAGAAACGACGGTGGACAGAGGGAAGGAAGAATGGGCCATGAAGGCAGAACGGGTGGACGAAATGGGAAGGAACGACACGCGCACGAGCAAGAATGAGAGAGGAGTCAAGCGAGACAGATCCGAGTGGGCATTGCGACGTACTTTTTTGTATGCGATGGCCGTCACACCCAAGGCCCTCCTACGCGCAATATCCTGTGTGGAAAAGCGATGATGAATGTGCTTGTACAATATCCTGTGATGCACAGACGACAAGCGAAAATGCGACAAGACAGGCTCGAGGCAAGCAAGGAAAGAAGTGCAGCGGTCGTGTCGTTGTCGAACGACGGGCTCGTCCTTGTTTGGAAGGAGCCGCAGGGGGGAACTGCGCTGGACTTGCCCAGTCCCGGTCCCAGGCTGGCACCGGCCCTGGCTTGTGCACGCACATGCGCGCGGGCGGCGGAAAGAACGAACAACCAACGACCAACGAACAAGGACAAGCGATCTGGGCTGATTTGGCCCCTTCGTCCTGGGAACGGCCAAAACGGGCAGTGAACCATCAAATCTATTCAGCAAGCAAAACATAAACGTACCGTGCGACACTACGGATCCCGTACTTTGCACAACGACAGACATGGGCAGGGGGAAGGGGGAATGGGAGCGAGGGAGGTCGATGGGATGCGCGGCACGATGGGGCAAAAGCCGCCTATTTCGTGACTGTTACCAGCCGCAAGCAAAAGAGGAAAGAAGCGAGAAGAAGGAGACGAAGAAAAAAGCTAAAAATTGGGACAGGTCACAGAAGGCACGCTAAAAGGATACGCCGTCACTGCTGGGTACCGACAGGGGTCTGGTTTGCAGGTCATCCCGCATAAAAGGTCAGATATACGACCTGCGGGGTACATCTGTGTCTGATTGGCGCTTTTTTAGGTGGTCCCGCAACAAACAACCTCGTCTCGTTTCTGCCCTTCTTTTTGCCCGTTTCCCTGTCCTGTTCGAATTGTTCGCACGCTGCACTTCAACGCCTGCGCATATCCAAGAATATCAGTTGTGGTATTCGATTGGCCTTGGAGTCATGATTCAAAATGTTTAGAACAAGTAGAGGTATAAAACAACGTCTGTCATTCTTTTGGTTGGTTCCGCCGAATCGGGAACGCTTCCAGGCCTGTTTGGCTTCATTTGCACGATCCTCGAGTGGTTTCGGACGGTCGAGGGAGGCCGGCCAAAATAAGGCAGACTTGAAAGTGCAAAAGTAGACGCCTTGTGCAATATGCTTCGTAGGAAGGCGGTCTGCGTGCAATAACTGCCATCGCTGCTGAGGCCACAAGGATGACAATAATCTCCGAGCTGGAAAGAGACGCAAGGACCGCATATGTTCTTCTCGAATCAGAAAGACAGACGCTTCTTTGTATTTTCACACATTCTGTGTTGTATGTGGTGTATACAATTGTACGGCGCACTGAAATTGCCACGGCGTAGCTGTCGCCTCTCTGCTATTCACTTCGGGGCAATGTCATTCCAAGATGGGCATTTTGATTACTCTCGATGGAAATGTTCGCAACGCGCGCCAGTGACAAATTGGCTGCCTGTCCGATCACATCCACAGTGTTGCGTTTGACTCTTGTCTTCGTCAGCCTCTTTCATCGCACTGCGCTGCCTGTTTCGTTTTCGCTCGCCTTCTCTGTTTCTGTCTACATGGTGATATTGCCGTCGTTTGGTCGCCTGGCGCGTTAGTTCGCGCCGGGTTGGTCCCAACAGGCAGTCAGAACAAAAGAAACGGAGCAGGGTTCGAACCACCGGAATGGCTGACACGCACACAAGGACTAGGTCACAACCAGTGTGACGGCGACGTGTTTTCTGCTCTTGTTGGTGGCCTGCGTGTCCTCCACCATTTTACTTCCATCCTGGTTGCTTTCGTTTTGCACAGGCAAGGCGCCCGCTTCTCCGAATCGGTCAAGAGAATGCATGCCTAACCGATCACTGTATGTTGTAGTCTTATATTGTATTCACTGGCATAGTCGTTTACTGCGGCATTCGGTATTTATGACAGGTATTTCGCCGTTTGACTCGATGCATTCTCATGTAAGGACAAAACCAGCGATGCTTATTCCTGACTCACGCAGGCCGACATAAATTTCAGGTGCAGCACAATGCTTCACTTGCAAAGCCATCAAAATCAATGGGGCACGATTTAATCACCGTCTTTTGATTCTGTACGAATTAGGCATTCAGGAATCATAGCCATACCCACCAGGTGGTTGTTTGTGCCTACCCTGCTTGCTACCCAAGCCAGGGCCCTGGAAGCCTGGGCCACCCGCCTGATGGGAAAACAAGACTGACAAGAGGGCACACTAGTTGCTTTGGTTGCAAGGAGAAGAGTGGGGTGGTCAGGAATGAAAGAATGAAAGGCGGGAAAATACCAAAAAAATAATAAGAGAGACTGTCCGGGGTGGGTAATATCTCGTTTTTTATTGGGAATGACACAAGCCGCAGCGAGCGAAATTTTGGGGCGCTTTTTTCAACGACATGCGTATTTTCGTGCGACCGCCAAAGGATAGCAGCAAAGGAATCCAGCATCGGAGCGAACGCCAAAAATCGATAGAAATTGCCGTGATTGTTTAGCGGAACGAGCGAGGTAAAAAGAGTGCAAACCAAAGTATATCAAAACAAAGGACAAGGGCAGGGGAAGTGCGTGATGCGGCAATAACGGTGACGAGATGGTCCACGAATGCGTCGAGAGGAGAGACTACGGCATACATAGAATGGCATAACAGAAACACAGGGAAAGACAACAATTGAAAAGCTACGAACGAACGGAGTGATAGAAAGGATTAGCAAAAGTGGTCGGTTGCGCTTTCGCCGTCGGTCGTCATTCTTCTGCAGAGAAGGAATTGTCCCAGGCACTACAACCTACACGCCTTAATGCTGACACACGCACTTCTGCCCCAGGCCGATGATATAGAAAAAGCCCTCCGCTGGTATTGTCATATTCTACGTCCACGCACCTTACCGCGTGTCTCCATGCGTGTCCCAAAGTCGCCTGTTGTGTTGTGGGTTGGGTCACGGTGAATGCGACGAATTTTGTCGATGCCTTCCAGACTTGCCGTTTTCTAGCGAGTCCCTTAAAATGGACGACGTTGAAACGGCTTCGTTCTGTTTGCAGAGGTTGCTTAGCCCTACACTTGACGAGCGCTTGACAGAACCCAAAGTCACCCGATCCCCCCTCCTCGTCAATTTTACCAACACGAGGGCATCTGATCCACATTCTTGCTCAACGTATCCTACACCGACAGGTTGTGTACGGAATACAAAGGACGCCGTACGGCGTCTTCCTTCCCATACATCTGGCCGAATCTTCCCCAGGGCCACGCAGTCGAGTACGGCTCTGCAGTCGATGGAGAGTTGCGAAAGCGGCGTCGTGGAAACACGGGCAACTTGGAAATCCAAGTGTCGTAACCGTGACGGGGCAGGAGGGGGGGGGGAGACAGAGAGGGTAGCGAGCAAGGGCAGATATGACCTAAGCGCACCCTGCCACCCCTGTTTTAATCCCAGGCTGCCAGGACGCTCTGTTTGTCCCCAATCGTTTCGTTCGGGTTTAAGATGCCTGCCCCTTTAGCCCCTAACCCAGTCGCTTCGTCCATGGCCCTGGGATGTATGGTTGAAGGCACAACTGGGCAGTACGTCCTTTTACACCTCGACCATTCGTTGACTCCGCGGACATTACAAAACCGTCCGTCGAAGACCAAATGCAGAAACGGATGTTTGACTCGCCAAATATATTCAAGACGGAAAATGGGACACGGGTAGGGGATATTGGATCGAGCAGGACAAAAAAAAAAGAACCAAAAAGGCGAGACCGAAGAGACGCTGTTTCAAAACTTGGTAGGATCTGCCTCGCTCAAGGTGTGCCAAGAGTGTCGGAGACGAAAAGGGGAGCAGGGAAAGAACCGCGCGGGAAAGCTTCGACCGTCATTCGACCATCGAGCACGCCTACAACGATCGTTCCGCTCCCATTTGGAGGAGAAACAGCTGCAGCCGCTTTTCTATTTCTCGTCTTAATGCACTTGTTCTCTTCTCTTGGGGTACACCAAAGAGACGACACCCACAAAAACAACCCTTTCGGTCTACATGCTCCTTGTGGTTCTGGCCTGAGCCAAGCGTTGGGACTAAGTCCAACTGGGCCGATCGGTTCGTCAACGTCTGCGTGGTTCAGGTCTTCAGTCGGGGCCACTATGCGCCAAACTGGGAAATGCACGTCAAGCCTCTGGCCTGGCTTTTGTTTTTTACAGGTTAGCCGTGGATCATACTGCAACCTCTCGGTCTTCATCCAGAGACGACAATATGTGTACGGAAGAAGGCAAGCAACAAAGGGGAAATCATGAAAAGCGGAATCTACTACAATGCGTTTTTTTTTGTGGAAATATGATTCAAAATGAAATCTTTCCGTTGCATAGGAAGAGGCCGTGCGATGTCGTGTGCTGCTGCGTGGCAGGACAACATGCCAAGTAAGCCACCAAATCGCGACCAGAACGATGCCCAAATCCGGTAAGGACAACTGGCGAAGCAAGACAAGGACGCAAGGTCACTTGGATGTTGATACTCCCAAGTCAATTAACACCAATGGAGAAGCAAACTGAACAAAGCTTTGTATTTCCGTATCTTACAGCCGACCATGATCGCATCATGGCAGTAATATTAGGCGCTTATGTGAGCTTGAAAAGTCGCGCGAACGAGCCAACAGGCAAAGACAGACAACCTTAATAGTGAGATGCCCGTGCCCAATCACTGGCCGTATGATACGAAAGACGTTCAGAGGAAACTCAGTGAGAGAGGCTCAGAGGGTAGCAAAGCTAGAGTACGCACAAATTACAGATACCGACCCAAAACCGTTCAAAAGCCCCTAAAGTCCATAAAAGGCGTACCATGACCACGTCGTCAGTGGCGAAAATGGAAAATAAATGTGGAATTATCAAGTGCCGTTTTTGGCCGGGTCGCTGTAGTCCATCGGCGGATGCGGGCACCAAAATACGATCAGACGACGGCCACCGCCCGGCAACCTCCGGAGAATGTATGCATGTCGGAAGCTGAGGTACCCAGATCAACGTTTTGTGTCGATGCTCGCC